TTTAGTGTAAATTGTCTTGTTCCATTGGCAAAATGTCTCTTTTACCTCCTCAATTCAAGAAAAAATGCACTTATTTTAAGAGAAAATGACTCCCCTAGATTTAGATTTTTTGCAGTGCTTTTACCTCCGTAATCCAAGCACTTATTTTAAGAAAAAAATGACTTATTTAGATTTAGATTTGTTCCAGTGTGTGTTTACGCCGTGGGACGCTCTCCTGCTCTGAAGCAGGACATGTGAAAAGTCATCCCATGTCCATGTGAAAGCAGTAATACCATAATTACCCTGATCCTATTGCCTTAATCAGGATCCCTGCAGCACTCACAGCATGGCTTCCCCACTGATCCCAGCGTTTCAAGGTCGGAACGAAACACCAAACCCTTATTCCACCATCAGATCACATCTCTACAATCCTTTATTCATATTCACATTTTTTTAAATCATATCTACACAAACTTACAAAGCCAAAAATAGAACTTGGAAACAAAAAAAAAGAGCAGATTTAACATAGAATAATTCAACGTTTAACTTAATTAGATGTTTTTTCTTTTAAAAAAGTAGAATCTTTTCTACACTATTTACAAAGAAGCAGGTGTTACAATATACATACATACAGAATGTGTCATAGAGATGGAGGACAGCAGTCAGGAGGGCAAATTTTAGCTGCCAATTCACTTTAAAATGCATCACTTTAGGCTCACCTCCTGATTTCCTCTCAAAGCTCCAAACATTCACACCTTTAACCGTGCAACTCAAACAGCTGATGTCTGCAGAGGCCATAGTTACGCCGGTTAGACCATCTTAATGTCATAGAAATCTAAAAAAAAAAAAAAAAAACCCCAAAGAATGAATCCAAACCCTGGAACAAAGTTGGACTTTAGCTTTAAGACTGAATAATCCTTTACACTCTATGTGAACAGATCTATAATATCAATAATTTCATAATCAGTCTGTTCATTAAAAAAAAGCAACATTATACAGATGTGGACGTATTTAGATTTTCTGTGAAGAGCCTTAAAATGCATTAAAGGTGATGCCTACAAGTCTAGCTCCTCCTGGCCAGTAGGTGGCGCACTTACTGCTTCTTAAAGGAAAAGTCAGTTCAGCAAAGAATAATCAATGGATCATTATTTATACCTAAAACTATTATGCTTGCAGTGATTTAATGAATTTAGCGTTAATCGGTAAAAAATATATATTTTCATTGCGATCTCTGAGTCTGGGAGCGGCCATCTTTACCCAAATATAGTAGCCCCTCCCTCCTGCCATCTTCCAGCAGTGACGTCACGGTGCGGTAAGCCTAGCGCCATTCTCCCCGCTTTCCAAGCTAAATCAATGGGAACTACTAGACACATCTGCAATCAACAACAATTATTGAAGATTTCCAGAGGACTTCACCATTGAAATTCACCAGTGTCATGATTTATCCAAAGATCTGACTCACAT